AAAACAAACAGCAGCAGCAATCACAATAACAATAATAATAATAGTCGCCGGGTAAACTGGTTGTTAATAATAATATTTTATTGTTATTGCATTACCTGCTAAATGATTAATTCGAAAATGTTGCCTCAGTTTGCAACAAACAAAGGTATTGTATGCATGTGATTTTGTTTTCGGAAATCGTATTCAAGGGGATCGTGGTGAAATCATAGGCATAGTGGCTTATAAAGTTAGCTAGTATATTTAAAAAATTGAGGCACTTTACATTTTGTTATAAAGGACCATATAAAAATGGATGGATAGGCACATCTTTTTTTTCGAAATTTAAATGCCATTTATCATATTATTTGTTATGATTTCACTTCCTCGCATTTAATTAAGTTACTTGATTGTTTAAGTAGCTGCTAGTGAAGCTGAAATGCGGGATTTGGGTTTGCCAGTTCGGTTGCATCGTAAATTCAAATTCAAATAATGTCGAAATACACATTCACTTACTCATCGTGTGGCCACTTAATTGATATCTTTTTGTTGTGTGCTCTGGCGATCTCGTAGCTCTTAGTAGTCGAATCCCGATTCAGATACAGATTCAGATTCCGATTCAGATTCCATTTCAGATTCAGATACGGTTTTTGTGTGCGCTTTTAGTATTTCTCTTGTTTCTGCGATGTCTCATTATATTGTTGCCTTCGTTTGGGGCTTTAATCAGGAAGTTTTTAATTGCGTCGTACGTTTCAACTGGCAGCTAACCATAACCATATCAACCTCCTTCCACCCCCCTCCTTTTATTACCCACCTCCCCTTTCCGGCCGCCTTTGGGGCAATCATCGTGTGGCGTCATTTAATTGAATTATTTCGAACAACAGCAGTAACAACAACTGATGAAAAGAAAAAAATCGTCAAGAAATCAAAAAGATTTCTGCGCTTGATTTTTGCTTCGGTTCCTTTTTTTCTTTTTTTTTTGCGCCAGCTTCCCCTTTTGGATGTATATAATTAATTTTTAATTTGACTCGCCGAAATTGGGTAATAAAAATTGTAAATTGTAGCAAGAAAATACCAGGAAGGTAGTCGGGGAAGTAAGGCATACAGACTTCAATCATTAGTTGCTCGAAGGATTGGGAGAGGGTTGCCTATTGTTCTGCAGGTTTATTGAGCTGAACTCCCTTTTAATAATTCGTGGTGCACTCAAACTATGGCTGCATATAAATTACTGACTAGAAAGTGTATTATCAATAATGTTTTCTGCTTGCGATGGCACAATTACTGGTGTTTTTTCTGCGTGTACACTGCTTTTCTCCACCAAAACTGTTCAATGCTTCTGCATTTTTTTGGCTTTCGATGTGTTTTCCTTCAGTCGCTGCCTTTGCATTATTAAAAATGTAAACAGTGTTTCTTAGGCAAGGCTAACAATCGGCTGGCCTCCCAACCCACCGGGTTTTCCTTAACCTCTCTTGGCCGCCAGCTGCAGTTGACCAGCAGGCAACGAAAAAAGAGCACAAAAAAGTTATTATAATTTCCTTTTTTCGCCTTTAACCGTTTGCCTATATATACGTATACATGTATATGTATGAGTGTAAGGATTTCCCCCCACTTTGTGTTGCTTACAATTTTTCTCGTGCTACCAGTAATCGTCTTCGATATTCCTTGACTTCGACTTCGGGATTTTGGACTTTTGACTTCGTCTTCGACGGAAACGGAAACGTAGCCAAAATGCGACGCCCTGCAGTCGCCCAACACCCCCTTTCAGCACCCTCCCCTCCCCCGCTCGTCCTGTTCTGGTTTGTTGTTATTTTTCTGGTGTAACAATAAAATTTTCTGCCGCTTTCTCCCTTCTTCTTCTTGTGGGCTGTATCCTTTACTAAGGCCAGAAAAAGCAAAAAAAAACGCGCAGAAAAGTAAATGAAAAGGAATCAAAGGCTGCAATATGCCGCCCAGCAATGTTGACGCCGTCTTAACCCTCTACTGCCCCAAACCCCAGCGACACCGTCTGTTGCTGTAGTTAAAAAAAAGAAAGAAGGAAAGCCGCAACCGACACCGGCAAGCAATTGTTGTGCTGTGTTTGGGTTATTTCTACTCCTTTTTTTCGGTTTGGTTTTTCCATTCTTCATTTTTTTCTTCTCCTGTTATTTTCATAAACTTTCAATAATTTTTTACTTTTGCCCATTGGCTGAAGTGCGCTGTAATCGAACAGATGGGTATATGGAATATGGTATACTTTACAAAAATTCATATTTTGTGGTAACAACGAAGTGTTTTTTCAGTTAAAGAATCCGCAAAATGTCAGGGCTTAAATTAATTACTATATTGGTAATATATTATACACTTCAATGCTGTTTTCTTTCTATTACTATTTAATTATAAAATAAGATAACATTTTGATATTTTGATTTTGTGCCATTCGAGTCGTTAGAGCTTAACTTTTTGACTCAGCTTGCAGCCGAAGATTTTGTTACACAAGTCGAAATTTCGTTACTTTTTTTTTGTTTTTTTGAACCGGCTCCTTATTAATTTTGGTGCAATTTTTCGCCCCTTTCGCTGGCGGCCCCCTGGAAATTCTTTCACCACTTTCCCGCCCTCGGACTTTCCTTGTTTATCCTTGTTGTTTTTCGGTGGGTGGCCGCCTGCTGCTTATCGTAATTCATTTGGCATTCTTGTTACCCATTCCATTTGTCGAGCGATTCCTGGCAAGGCGGCCCAACATTAATTTCTATATTGAATCCTTTTTTTTCTTTTATAGACTTTCCACAGACTTTTCACCCACCTTAAAACCCCCTTCCCCCATCCGCCCCGTGTTTTTTGTTGCGTGCGACGGATCGCGTTTTATACCATTTCTATCTATCTTTCGCTTAAATTGTCAGTTAAGCGACTTTCGAAACACAATGCCGCGACAAAAGCAAAACTTTACACGCACGAAACCCAGGGATTGGAATGATACTCGGATACTTGGATACTTGGGTACTTGGTACTGCGATTGAATTGGCTGGGACTGGCTGGATCGGCTGGGTTCCCATCGCGGCTTATAATTTGCGATGGGAAACCACAGAGAAGCCTATCTGTATCCCATGGATGCGTGTGTTTCCCCATTTTACTTCCCATCACTTGGTTGATGGATTCTTGGTTTTTGTCAATGTTTCAGGTCAATATGTTCGTTGTATTCAAACATTTATACAAAACTACTATATAACCATTGTATGAACAAATAAAAATTACTTGTAAATAAACAAATTAGTTCCCTACCAATCTGAACTTCAACCTCTGGGCTCCGATAAGCTTTTCGATCCCCACTCCCCTTGCGTTTTGGGCTCTGTCCACGGAAGTTGACATTAGCCTGGGTGATGATGCCCAGGGAGAAAAGAAAAAAATAGAAAAAATAAAAAACCAACCAGCAAGACAAACACAGAGAGTGGCAAGATGAAAGGTCTACACATGGAAATTAAAAAATAAATAAAACGAAATGAAATAGAGTGGGGAGAGATAGGAAAGACATTCACCCAGACACTCAAGACACAACATCCACCTTTTAATTGTGGTAAAAATGGAGTAATGACGGAGCTCGTCTTTCGGAAGTTGGCATTTTGACTTAGTATTATGTACTATTATTGTTATTATTTTAGTTACCCGGAGCGGTCTTAGACAAACAGAAAGTCTGCATTGCATGCTGTCGCTGACATTTTCAGCGGCTGCCTCTCTGCTTCATTTTGTTTTTCTTTTTTTTTTTTCACTCTTTTATATATATGTATGTATTTTTTTGTGTGGCTCTTAAAAGGCTGACTTGGTGGGGTCGCCACTACGCCACCAAGCCACTACCAGCACAAATAGTAGCACCACCACCACTCTTTCTACGCAACCACATCCGGCCCTCGTCTTTTGGGGAAGTAGAGTGCTGACTTTGAGTCAGAGTCTTTAGCTTGACTTTGAGTTTCGGCTCCCACACACGTGGGCTTTCTGGAACTGGGGAGCTACTAGAGCTACTGGAGCTACTGGAGCTGCAAGAGAAAGTTCACTGGGTCAGGCCAAAATCGGGTAGCAGGAGGCTGGCCAGTTATCACTTGAAGATAATATCCAGAACATTGCCTCGGTCATTCACTTGACACTTGGCACTTTGAAAAGGAGTTATCCCTCGACTGTGGGAAATGTGTGAACTTCTGTGGGAAATGATGTGGAAAATGTTGAAGGATAGCTCTAATATTGTAATACTAACTGAGCAGAGAGTTTCTTATGCAACCATCTTTCCCATTTCTGTTCCTATATTGGCTAATATATCTGTTAAATTTCCGGAGTTTTTGTATCGCCAATTTGTTGTTTATTAAAATTCGCATGTCGTCGAATTTGACATACGCCTGTCAGAACCTGGAAATTACATTTATTTTTTTCTCTCCAATTCGTATTTTTTTCCTCTCCAAGAAGGAAACATTGTTATTTCTTTTTTTTGGTAGAAGAATATATACGTTTTTTTTAAGGGTCGTCTGGCAATCGGTAGTTGGAAGTTGGGGGAGTGCAGGGTACTGGCAAGTCCATCAATCATCAGTCACACATCCAAGGCGGAGCAGAGTTGCGCACTCAACGTAACATTCAAATCAATCAAAATGCGACTGCGACTTCTAACTGTTATGTTTTTGTACATATATACATACATTTTTTTTGTATTTTTGTATGGGGGGAAATTCGAGCCCTTAGTTGTATGCAAAACGCAAATCTAATTTTTCATCGAATGTGTATATGTAGCAAATAGTTCATGCAAGAATTTCCACGTCATTTTCCTCCTTGCTGATGAAGTTGTTCGGAATAATGAATAATGTGCCCGATTTCGAGACAAAGTGGGGAGGTAATGCTCATATGGCGTGCTTTATACCAAGCCACAAATCCATATGGTAGCAAGTTTAAGTACCCATCTCCACCACCACCAGCTGCTTTGGGTTTTATATACATACATATATATTTTTTCTGGCCCAAGTAGACCTTGGATTCTAATTCCTGCTGTCAGAGGCGAGCTGAAAACTCATTCACACTCATTCAATCATTGCTTTTCACATCTAAAGCGCTAGTTTGGCTTATACAAAATATCGGTTGTATTCTAATATTTGTTTTGCATTTCGGTAAGTGCAAATGGAGTATTTCTACCTCTTCCTGCTCATAAATTTAACACTTCAAGTGTCTGGCAAGAATGCTTTCTGTAAAGCAAAGGACCTTGGTAATAAGAGGAGTACGATACTTTCGCTTGGGATTGCACCACAGAACGCTGGGTAGGACTAAAGGATGCGACAAGACCTCGGCCACAGTGCTCACCAGCCATTTGCCTAAGAACCAGCAAACGGAGTTACTGCCCGAGGAGCCAAGAAAGCCGGAAGAACTAATGCAGCATTTGGGTCCACGTCGCAATGAGCAGGAGCAGCGAAGGATTCGAAGAGCTCAATACGAATCGCACCTCAAGGAGCTGCTGCAGCAAAGACCCGTGGACGCCGAGATGGCCATACAATGTGTGCCTTTTGTCAAAGTGTCTGGCGGTTCGGAAAATCCCCTTAAAAGGCGATACGATAGTGCCGAAACGCTCCTCGAGCAGGTCAGTGATCCCAAAGAATTGGCCAAGGAGGTGATTAAGTTGACCAGGGAGTTGCGCATGGAGCGTCAGAAAAATGAAATTGTTATGCAAAGTTTTTTGGATCTTGAGGAGTCGTTATTTCTGAAGAACTCGGCACCAAGTTCAGATAACTCCCCCCCGAAGCCACCCAACCAAAATCCTAATTGCAAGTCCAAGTAAATGGATCTTATAATTCCCCTTATCCTTTTATATCAAATTTTATTTCGTGCAAATCTTTGGCTTAATCTGGCAATTCGCGAAAGAAAATTTACATCAAATAAAAGCGCATTTTCTAATTTGTAGGCTATTTTTTTTTTCCAAAATTCATATAGCAATGCCACGATCAAGGGAATTATCTAATGGGTAATACATCGGCATTTTCACAATCCTCCACAAAGCTCGGCTTTTCCCCTTGCGGCGGCGTTCGGCACTGGCGAGGAAAATGCCAGAGATGTCACTTGTCTAAAAATAGCATTGTGATCGCATATAAATTATAATTGAAATTATCCATACACTGGTTGGCTGATAAAAAGCGCTGCCTCGAATCAGAATCTGAATCCGAGATATATATGACAAGTGGAGGAGCGAAGCCGACCGAGCGACTGGACGAAACGAGATGAGCAGAGAAGAGACGGTGCCGTTGATGACTTGATTTCAAATTTGAAATGATATTTTAAGAAACTAATGCCTGCTGGTGCGGGAATCTGTTCGCCTGTCTAATCCACCCCCAAGCCCCCAGCCCCCAACCCACCAGTGCCATCAACTGCCCCACCGGATCTACACCCTGCGACACTTCGTGGGCATGTTAAATGTCATTTAATAGTTGACAGTTGCACTTGCTTTTGCTGTTGCTGTTGCTGCTGCAATGATTATTATTGCAGTTTATTTTTTGTATCTAGCAAAAATTTATGTGTAGGTGGTTTTAAATTTATGTGGTCGTCGTTGTCGTTGTCGTTGTCGTTTTAGTTGTCGTTTTCGTCGTCGTTGTCGACGCCAAAACAAGTCGCGAAAAATTCTTTTGAATTTGGGTTCGTTTTTCTTTAATAAAAGTAAATTTTATTGCTTACACTAAAAATGCATTGCACTGTGTGTGCTGTAGGCTAATGCTCTCGTGGCTTCACAGATTCAGATGCAGAGCCGCGAAAAGATACTTTCAAAGATACAAATACATATGCTGATGCAGATCATTTGCTTATTGAAGACATCCTGTGACTTGCAACCTTTTTTGTTCAATTTGGCGCCCCAAAAACAGAAAACAACCTGACAATCAAATAAAATTATAAAATGCGCTTATACTCTGGCCTCATTGGAGTGCAATTTGTATTAAAATGGGTCAATCTATTACTGTGGATTCTTGTAAATTGGCTGAAATGTCTAGATAATACTTTGTATCTTATCTTCAAAGATTAGGATATTTTTGGCTACTCATAATGTTTGTAATGTTTTAAAATTAAATAATAAAAATGTTTCCATTTAAGCTGTATTATGTTACAGCTGTCAAAAACTCAAAAACTTTCCATGGCCCAGCAATTATTTTTTTGCTGAACTTTGATCATTGCTTTGATTTTCACGCAGCTTGCCGGCGATCTTTTGGCTCTTCGACCCCGCCAAAGGTGAATAGAAAGTTTCTGTTTATTTTGGCAAATCATAAAAATGGCGATGGTCATGGATCACAGCCCAGGAAAACACGAAAAAGCCAACACGAAAAAGTCCAAAAAATACAGCGTACAGTTGCGGATAAGCCGAAATCAGTCAGATATTCAGTCGCTTTGTCAGTTAGTCATTAAGTCAGTTTGCCAGTTTGCCAGTTAGTCAGTCGGTCAGCCAAGCGTCTCCGAGTTCAAGTTTTCTTATCGGTGGCTGCTCAAATTCCACCTGCTCTTTTTTCGAGTGTGCGCCATTTTTGAATTTCGTTTTCTGGACGAATGCCTCTAATATGAGTTAACAAAAAAACCAAATATATAAATATATGTATATGAACCAAAAAAAGAACATAGAAAATGGGAAAGAAATGAAAACATTTTTCAAATTTTATGCTCATTGTTAGTTATGTATTTTTTTATATTTCTTTCGATTTTTGTATTTGGCTAATTAGCGTAGCCCCTGGGAAATGGAAATGCTTCGGCCTCCGCCCGCAGCTCTCAAAAGTCGAGTTTCCCTTGAATACACGTAGTACCTATGCCACACATAATCCCACATCCATATCCATATCCAGGTTATAGTCGTTTTTTGTTTTTTGTTTTTTGTGTTTTTTCTTTGCATAAATTAAATATTTTTCGGTTGGGCCATTTGCCGGTGGGTGGCTTTTTGGCCCAGTTGACTGGGCATTCGAAGGTGAGCCAAGAGCGTTTCGGGAATCTCAAGAGCTTGTAGGGGAATGCCCATGGCAAATGGTGGAGGAAACTCTGGACTAGGGTGTGGGCTCGGGTGGAAGAGGTTTAGGTATTAAATCGAAAGATGTGTAATGCTAACGTAATTATAATTCTAACGCCAAGAATGTGAACCCATTGTTAGGCAAGTTAAGAAATGCATGAGTAATGAAAACGATAAAGAAATCCACTACAAAATGTATTCCTCTTACCCAAACATATCTATAAAAAATTATGTTTTAAATAAAACTAGCTCGCCAGTCGACGTACTCGACTAAAAGTGGAGTAGCGAATCCGAAAGATCTGAAAGTTATTAAAGCGTGGACCCCGCTTACGATGCGGATACTTTATATTGTTTTAGTGGGCTTTTGGCGCTAGATTCACACTATATAGTAACCAAATTAGCTGAGCCCCATCTTTGTTGTTATGCTCGCGTTTAGCTTATTACTATTATGATTTTATATATTTCACGCCGCCATTGTGGCTGCCCATTTGCCGGGTTCAATGACTAATTTATGAAAGTTGGCCTGACTTGACTTTAATTTTGGGTTTTCGGTTCTAGTTTTCTATTTTTTTTTTTGGGGTGGAGAGACCGGACCACCGGAAAGCAGCCAAGTGTTTCGCAGGCAAATATGCGGATTCCAGATCACATGGACTTCCATCGAAGCGAGTGTTTGGTTTATTTTTGTGATATGATACAGATTCCCTAAGAACTTTCACCGACCGCACCAGCAATAAAAAAAACACCCAAGGATCTGAGGATTCCGGGAAGCGGATATTTGTGTATTTGTGTTTGCCTGTGAAATTTCGCGTTCACTTGTTGCGGTCGCATTTAGGGGCATTGTGAGCACACAATAAATAGGCTCCATAGATTACCAGACCTGAGGTTAACCGACAACCTGCCAGAAACAGGTAAGTGCCTCGAAATTGAAATGCCGACAAAGGAGTGGCTGGCAGGAGCAGGATCATTGAAGTCTTGTTGCATAGGATATCCGGCGGTGGGGAACCTTCGTTGTCATCGCCACTTACTGGCCAGGAATTTAACGCCTCTAATTGAGCTATAATGTCTTCGATATGGCCCCAAAATCGAAGCCATTCGGCATTTGACTCGCTTTTCGTGTGCCGACGTAGCGTTGAGAGTAAATCAATTTTTATGCCGCACTTTGCAGTTAATGTTGGAACACACAGTTACACTAAAAACGTTTTTGTTCCATGTGGATAAAATAAACATACACAAAATTAACACAGAAAAAAAGAATAAATTGATCAAATTTGCAGTCGAATTATGCGAGAACATAACTCGATTTTACCTTTGATTATTTGCGGAAGTACAAAAGCAGTCAGATTTTCTGCTCAGTGCACAGATGCCATCGAGGAGATACAAAGATACTCGCGAGCCTCTCGTTACATTAAATATGCATCAAAAATTGATGATGATGCATTTTTAACGATTCGAGGAGATTTTTATGTCGCCAGAAATGCATTTGACAGAGCATCGAGTTCGTCAGATGTATGGGCCCAATACACATGTCCATCATTCCATCAGTCCATCACATTCGACATCTCCATCTCCATCTCCATCTCCATCTCTTCATTTATTTTGACTTGTTTGTCGCTTGTCTGCGCCTCAATTTGATTTTAATGGCCTTTTGATAAATTCCCCCCTTCCTCCTTGGGGCGCCCCCGTAGTCTACAATACTCCACGGCGAAGAACTGCTCTAAGATGTGAAAAACCTGGATGACTATATACATGGCAGTTGCCCTTGGATCGGGTAGTACATGTCATCAGCGCTGGGCGGCGCCACTTTGCGACGCTCACACGCTGCGCGTTAACCTGGACAGTTTGTAATTATTTCTGTGGCCAAATTGAATTGAATTAAAGCGAAGAGGTGAAGTGCACACGGAAAGCAATGGCAGAAACCATCAGGGCAGGCAGTGGGTCTCAAGCATGGAAGACTCGACCTCTGGCTACCGTGTACGTGGGCCAAGGCTGAACATTTAATTTTCTGCAACTCCACTTCACTTTATGCATATGTATGTATATAAGAACCTACCATTTTACTTACTATTTTAATGTTATGCATACGATTAAGTTTGGCCTGATATACCCGATATTCACTACTCCGCTCACCCAGCATAATGAAGCCGGGAGTCGAGCGCAAATGAACAACGAACTTTTTGGCCACAGTTGAGTGATTCTTGGGTGTCGTCTCCGTCTCCGCCATCGTCATCGCCATCGCCATCGCCATCGCCATCGTCATCGTCTTTGGTCTTCTGGTCTTCAGGGCTTCTTAGGCGCTTGCCTGCCTGTTCATCGTCACCAGTCGATGCACCTGTGGCGGTGGTAATCGGCACTAGGTGCTTGGTACTCGGTATTCGTAACTCAGCATTCACTGCTCTCTACTGAGACGCCGAAAAACCCAACATCGATGGAGTGCCCGGGTCCACTGTCACTGTCAAGCGTAATCATAATTTATTGTAATTATTTTGTATTATTTTTTAAAATTGTTTTAATGAGTCTTAGTCGCTGTCGCTGTCGTTGTCGTTGTCGTTGTCGTCTTCGCTGGTTGGCTGGCTGGTTGGTTGTTTGCCTTTTTCTCTGTGATCGCTTTGGCGTTTTACTCGATTCTCTTCAACAACTACCGACAAGTAGTCACCTCGATTTGGTCGTAATTACATTATAGATATTTCCATGTTGTGATTACCGTTGTCTGTCGCACTACCACCAACGATGACTGACTGACTCTCCTTGTGGCATTTTGTCAAATGAACAAATTTCATAATCGGAAGTGTTGCTGCTATAGGTGGGCTGAAGTGGCGAAGTGTTTTCCGAGGGTATGTGTGCTATGTGTGTGTTTACTTTGCGGCGGGCTCCCATTATCCGGGCACTTTTAATGAGCCGCAATTATTGAAATTTCTCGAATGCAACGGCCCATGGGGGGAAGTGCGGGGACTCTGGAGAGCGGCGCTTGTGGGTATTTCCTTATAAAACTTTTGATGAGATTTTTTCGTTTTGGGCTTTTGGTGTTGTTCAAATCGGTTGAAGATTGTGTGATTAGCGCGATTGGTTGGGTTTTTTCCATGGGAAAACCGTGCTAATCAAGGCGATGGATGGCAATGTACATATGACTTATAGAACTGCTTAATGTGTGATGATTAAATGCCTTAAATATGTTACTTACTTGCAATGCTGGCTAGCACAAGTGTAGATAGCTTCAGAACGGATACTCTGTTCCTATTAGCATCAGCTTTTTCAACCTAACCTGCGATATTACTTAGTTCACTTTTCGGATCTCATAGTCATTGCGCAACGTCTGTCATCTTTCGGTTTCGAGATGCTGACGCTGCTGCTTCGCTGGCACCTGTTGTTCTTATGCAAATATAAAATAGTTCCACACTGAACAATGCGATCCCTGACAATGTACACACCCTGTTTTCGGGCCTCTGATGCTGATAAGCCATAGATTCACTTGGGTTCTAACTTATCAGGTCCGGCTTGCGTGAATTGCGGGGTGTTCGGCATTCGGTTTATTTGGTCTCTCTCTCTGTATGCATAAGAGCGATAAGATATAGACTGTCTTCCTGGGTATTTTGGTTTTTCTTTTATTTCGTGGACCTCAGCCACAGCTTAGGTTTCATCAGCTAAACCGCAGCATGCCAAAGCGATGAGGCCAATTTTCCTAGAACAACTAGTGCTTTCGTTTTCTCTTCGTTCATTTGGGCCTTTTTTTTTTTTAAGGGGAAGTTGTACCCCCAAACAAATATGTAAATAGAGGCAGATGCCTGAGCAATAATAACACTTTACATTAGTAATCATAGAAATTATTTCATTGTTTGCCCTGCGATAAGGAATTCCTCAGCCACAAATAAGTGGAAGCTCAACCAAAAAGAAAAAATACAAGCATGACGACGGCTGTTGTATTTGAATTTCTTCACATCTGACATGTGGTGGTTAGTACAGTTGCGAAAGTCAATAAGATTAGCATCCGTCACACATCATCGTTCCAAAAATCAGAGGAAACGTTCTCGCGTTTCATCATGAAAACATTTTGCTGATGATTAAGGCCTTTCTCGAATCTCGATTGATTCATGGATAAAGTTTTTAAGGCAAGTACCTAAACATATTTATGCATAAGTTCCGAATCCGAAACTCGAGGAGCTCAAACTTCTGGCTGTTCATCATCCACATCATGATTGTCGCCATCGTCGTCGTGCCCAGCTCATTACTTTTATGACTCTTTGTGCCTTAACTGGTCCCTCTGCCCTGCCCCCTTGCAGAAAGTGATCCAAATCTATTGACTGAACTCCCAGAGAGGAACGATGGTAGTACACACCTGAGAACTCGGGAGTAACAAGCGAATGGATTGTTATAATTTTTTATGATATGCTGGCGCATATTTCTGGTTAACTATTTATGCCAGCAGCAGGAATAAAGCTATGTACGTGTATACCATACCCCCTGCTTTGTGTGTGTGTATTTTTTATTGCCATTCATGCATAATGCCAAAAAGATAAATAACAAATAAATTTTCCAACTATGTACACTCGATCTCGCTCGCTCTTTCCCAGTCGGTGTGGTAATTATTAATAAATGCCTGCCCACCCTTTATCCCTCTGGCAAAGAAGCCTCCTCTTTGGGCTCTCTAATAATATTCACGCTTCGCTTAACATTGAAGAAAACTTAAGACTGCGAAAGAAGAGTCTTCGAATCTCCGGGCTCTGAAGTCAGTCTGTAAACTGAAAACTGAAAACTGACTGGTGACTGGTGACTGGGCCGTGCCCTTAGCGTTCCGAACAGGCAAACAACCAAACCACCCGACACAACCAATTGTCTTTTGGCATATTTTCAAGTTGAACGCTCGCCTCGTTTTTTCTGTTTTTCAACCATCTTCCTTCTACCATTTCTCGAGATTTTCTAGTGCGATTAAGCGAAAAACGAAACAGTCTCATAAAAAATATTTCTCTCCCACTCTGGCGATTGTGTTTGCTTTGCTCATACATAAATATAGTGGAAATGGTGGGGAAAATGGTGGCTTTGGTGCTGGAATTTCGAATGGAAACGCAAATTGCAGATAGCCTTGGTCAGGCGAAGTTCAATGACAATGGGTTAAAGTTCAATGGTAATCTAAAAAAAATGAATGGTTATCTAAAAAAAAGCTACTGCAATCAATACCTCAATAACAAAGAAATCTCTTTCCAAGCTACACATTCTGCAAACTGTCAACGTCTGCTGTCAACTCGCCAATAACCCATTCATACAGTCGTTTATACATGCATTCATTCTAGCTGAGAACCCTCGATTGGGTATTTTGGCATCACCCTCGCAATTCCGCAAAACTGCTTTGCATATTGACATCATCATTTTGCCAGAGACGACAAACTGTCAAACAGAACAATTGCTGTCAAATTTACTACAATGAGCGTACCAATGGTATGGCAGAAAAAAAGCGGAGCTGTCAAAGTTTTTATGGCAGGCCAAGAAGCAATTTAAACATATCAATAAATTTTTGACAATTCCCGAAGACACAGCCAACGAAAAGTAAAAAAAAAGAAAAGTAAAGCAACGTAACGTACCGAAACGTACCCACAACGAAACGAAACGAAAGGCAAGGAAAGGAAACAAATGCCAGGGAACACCTTTTCAATAAATTTGCTACAACTGTCAGCGAAACAATGTCATTGTCACGACGCCCTCGCCGAGGTCCTTTGCCTGGTTGTGGCCCACCTCCAGTAGAAGTCCTCACCCTTTTTTCGAGGAATACTCGCACAAATATCGCGAAGGAAGCGACCTATAAACCTGTCACAGGACCCGGGTTCCATTCAATTGAAGCGAAAAGCGAAAAATACTGGCAACGACGACATTATTGTCGCTAAACAAACGATCAAATGGCAATTTAAAAGTTTTTATTTAACACTAAATCACCCACACCAACGACCAATGGAGCCACCCAGCACCCGGAAAAAAAAAAACCTCCAACTTTCAACCACCTGACATTCGCTTTCTTTTTCAATTTCGAACCCTTTCGACGAAAACCCAACCCTTGCGCGATTTTCAATAACTTTTGTGCCGGGCGAACAAAAGGCGCAAAACTTTAGCGACTTAAATTATGGTCTTGTTGCTGCTCCACAGTCTTTATTCGTATTATTTCTTCCTTTTTCATACTCTATATACGTATTTTGTTGTGCTCCGTTGTTGTCAGTTTTCCGTTGGAGCTCATCGACTGCCTGACTTTTGACTCCCCACTTTTGACTACTTGCCGCTGTTGTCTTGTTGCATGCATGAAAAAATTGCTGTAATTCAAGGGGCGTGGGATGGAAGATGTGGCTTAGGGGCAAGGATATTGCAACATGAGTGAAAGGCATTTGACACGGGGTTAAGCGCCTCGGCCTAAAGGGTTTTGATTCCTGACCTTGTCGCTAGATCTGCAAACCCCCTTTCGGTTGGGATAGATTTCAGCCAGTCGGGATAATAAAAACGCGGTGTTTATAAAGCATATTCAACAGGGTAAGAACGCCACTTAATTGGCATTCCAACTAGATAATTTATTGGCTCCGACAAATAAACAGAATCAATAGATTAATCCAGCAGCGTTGAAAAGAACATGTTTTTGTTACTCATTCATTTGCGATTCAGCCGCTTAGTTCTACTTCCAGGGCTGAAAGGCAGCACGGGTTCGTTCTGATCTCTTGTTCATAAAAGCAATGGTCAGATGACGTTTGGCAGGAGTTAGCGTTTGCTTCGATTGCTTCGATTGCATCGGCTGACCCATCAGGGCGATGCTTCCCAGACTGCTGTCCACCGGAACGGATCGGTATCTTCGACGGACACGCGGAATCGGCTTGGGGCGGCTTGGAAACTTTGGTTTCTTATTAATTTTCTTGCTCACCTTCGGTGGCGGGATCATGATCCGCTCGCTGGTGGCGTTGGGCTGGCGATAGCGTCTGCCACTTGGCGAACGCTTGATTCGCGAGCTCACGCGCTCCACAGAACGATGATCCTGCTCCTTTTTCGGTTGCTCAGGTTCCTGGATTCCTTGCTGAGATGGTTGAGATGGTTGAGACGGTTGAGTCGGTTGAGTCGGTTGAGATGGTTGGGATATTTGCCATCCACCGCGGGCTCGACGAAATATGCCCGATCCATTGCTCAGTGGATCATCGATGGCCTCTTCCCGCTGCAAATCTCTTATCAAACGCTCCTGCATCTGGAGACTGTGCCTTTGGCGACTGGTTAAAATGGGACGTTTAACTGGGGATATTGGTTGGATTACCGATAGTCGTTGTACCAGCTTGCGGTTCTTTTCCTTTAGCAATTGGCACGGCGGTATGCCGGCCCCGGCATTTGGTATTTGGGTTGCTCCGGCGGCACCTTGGAATTGATAGGGCGTATACCACGGGAAGTTCACGTTTCGCATTTGTCGACCAACATGCGATGATCTTGGGGGCTTAATCTGGCCCGTGTTGCTCCTCGCTGAATGCTGGGCTTTCCCCTCCTTAGCTGACTTTTCCTTTCGCTTGCCATCGATATTATTCGGACGCTCCAGATTTTTCCGCAATTGAGCTCCGCCAGCCAATCGTTTTTTCCTAGGCCGTTTCACTATCCACGGTTTTTCGTAGCTCCTTTGTGGCAAAGGTTTTTTCTTGAGTGTTCTTTGCTTTGATCCCGATCTCATCTTCTCTACTGGATTCGCCCTTACCGCTGGCTTGGGTGCAAATGCAATTCGGTTGCATTCACCCGCCTTAATGCGTTGACTTAAGACACGACTCTTGACATTTATGGGCTTGTGGGTTCGTTTGGCGCGAAGTGATTGACTCGTTTTCTGCACAGATGGCATTTTGTGAAAGCGACCTGGTGAAGGAGACCGGCGCACCTGAGGAGCCGAAGGAGACCCCGATCGGTTGCGAAAAGGTGACCCAGTCTGCACCTTCTGGGGGCTTTCCTGCATTTTCCTTACTTGCCGCGGCTTCTGGTCTGGGCTAAGTTTCATCTCCGGAAGATGGTTGTGTACTTGAAGGACCTTCTCCTCGGTGATTTTCTCGGCGTCCTTCTGTGGTTCTGTCCTCTTCTGGTCGGCATCCTTTTCCGGTTTCGGCGCTGGGCATTTCTCCGTATCCTTGGTCTGGGCAAATCGAAGACGCTTTCGGGGTCGCTTGACTGGCGAGGGGGGAACATGCAAAAGGATCTCCCTTTGCTCACCATCTTGGGGCAAATGTGTTTCGTCGATGATTACGCCATTCAGACTACGGCGACCTGCATCCGCCAGCTGGAAAATAGTGGTGGAACTCTTCTTACGACTCCGAATTTTGGGCCTTGATTGCTTTTTCGGTGGACCGGCGTTTTTAAGAATGGACTGCTTCTTTGGTGGTGTTGCCAATTGCGGCGGCGACACCTTCATCTGTAGTCTTACGTTGGGATTGGTCGGATACTTCGGACGTTGTGTGATTGCTTGCTTTTTCACAGATCGCGGCTTGTGGAGCAGCAGATCGTCGAAGGCCTCCTTGGACTGGGCAATCAGCTCGTGAAAATTCAAGCGATCCGGCTTGGCAAAGTACATGTGACCCTTGTAGTCGGCCACATCCCCGAGGGTATGGTGCTCTGCGACCACCTGGGCCACGATTCGCTTCATATTGCTGCGGTTCAGCTTCAGATGATTGGCCACATTCCTGGCCAAGGCCTTCAAAGCACCACCAGAACCACCTACCTGTGGCGCGCTCCAGATACTCTGTTGCATTCCTTTGGGGAATTGGGAAATGGTGCTGTGGGGATATAGATGGTCTTCCAGTAATAGTAACGAAAACAATTAATTTAAACTTGGGCCGAAAGGTGCTTGTTCTGGTTTACTAAAACTGCTTAATGTAATCGGTTTTGTTTCTGTGTTTTCTAATTTTGTTTTCAATTTTTATTTTTTTTGCTTCTGTCAATCGGATCGGATGCCCTTAGGTTTTGAAGTGTACTGTAAAAATGGAAATGCTTGCGTTTACTGAAAGATTACCCAGTCATGCTGAAAAGCATTTGGAAAGCACATTTTACAAAACATTCCTAGGCCCAAGTGTTTGAAATTTCAATGCCTACTGAGTTGGTCATTTACTTATATTATCTTTATTATTTTTGAGCGAGCATTAGGCGGATCCTTGGGCAGCTGAGCCCGCCGAAAGCAGGTGATCCACCAGTAGCCACGTGCTAAGACTGGAACTATCCCCTATCAATGGCTCTCGAAATGGGCAATCAAGCGTCAGGAGGTCAGGAGGAAAACGCAAAACTCGACGGGGAATTTAAAGGTACCCAAGGGCCAGGAAGAAAACCATCGAACGAACCGCAAGACATCACACAAGGCTCAGGGTAGGAAGAAAAATTATAAATGATTTCATTAAGACGAGACAGAGAGAGAGAGGGAGAGGGAGAGAGGGAGAGAGAAGAAGCATCGAGGGTCGTCGTAGGTCAGGAATGAAGGTTGATGCACCTGCAATTCTTAGTGCACCTTGGGCAGGTGAGTTGTCCTCGTTTTGCTTAGGGGTGGGAAAAATGATTTACGCAATGAGCGGACACACAGTTCTGATGATGATGATTCGGTTCAGTAACGCCAAGGGGAGTTCGGAAACCCAAAACTGAACCAAACGGAACCCAACTGAACCGAACCCTTTGCAAAGTTCGATACGGAAGCGCCCCCTCTGTCGCTCCATCGTCTCTTGTCTCCTTTTTTTTTGGTTTTTGCCTCGTTTGGGCCACTTAACCGTAATTAGGGCTTTTCAATATTATTAATGATGATGGTCGCTGGTCTGTGGGAAATGCATTGCGAATTGATGACGATGACGATGACGACCACCGCAGACATCAGACATCAGCAGCAGCGGACAATGAATGCAAAAATTGTAAACACGCAAACCCAAAGCGCAACAATTTTCGAACAGCAATTTTTGTGCCGCTCTTGCCGCGCTCTATTTGACTTTTGTTGCTTGTTTGTTTGTTTGTTTGTTTGCTGGCTGCGCTCGGTGGTTGTTGGAAGTTGCAAGTTGGTGGTTGGGCCATCCATCCATACGTTTTTAGCGTTATCAGTGCAAAATAATCTTTCAATCAGCCCTACGCCATAGCGTCGCACATATGGGGGGTTCCTATTCCCCGAGTTCCCAGTTCTGGCCTTTGCGTTCCCTGTCCTGTTCGCTCCCTATCTCTCTCTCTCTCTCCCTCGCACTGTCTGTCTTCCTGCATTCTGGTCGTATGCAATAGTCCAGCCAAGCGTGACGCCAATTGTTGCAGTTTCAGTTGCATTTCCAGGCGCGTCGGGGAAAGGGGTCTCGGCACTTGAAGGGCTTGCAATTACAGTCGGCCCAGGGAACCTATCGAATGGCCAACTTTGTGCTTTGTGGGGGAAAACAGGGTCACTTGTTGCACAAACGTGTTGAACTCAGGCTAAGTGCTGGTCCAAGTCCTTTGCCAAAGTAACATAAATAACCCTTAGAAATTGATACATTTACTAGCAGTTTGCGCATCATAACTTGGCTAAATAAAAGTCGAATGATCAAAGTACTTTCATTTGATAGCAATTGCTAATAACACAGTATTTGTCAAATTTTTGTTTTGTTTCTCACAAATAAAGTCAGTTTTAAAGTTTTAAAATGTAAAAATAAATACAAATAAATCATTTAAGTACAGATTTTTGAAATATTAAATTAAAAACTTTTCGACGCGTGCCATTATGAAATAGGAAGTCAATAACAAATGTTATGGCTACCGCAAGTCCAGTTTAGGTTCACCCTAATCTTAAGCCAAAGCTCATAATCAGCTGCTCATAAATCGGGAAATCGAACCATTGAATTGAATATTTTTCGCAGCTCTGCTCAATGGTGTCCATATTAAGAAACAACATTTAAGATTATGTATGCATGACAAAGATGTGTTTCACCTTTTCAATTTGAGGCAATTACTTTGTAGACCCTTATATAACTTGCACCACCCTCTTTGAGCCCACCTTCTCCATTTGAAGCCCATTTGCGCCTTGTTTGCCACGCCGTTTGCGGGCCAAAAACAAAAAAAGAAGCAGAAACCGACAAGTCGGGTAAAAGAAGAGGAAGCGACTTGCGACCGGGAATCATTTAAGCATTGCGGTGTGAAATTTCACACCGATTGCAATAAACATTCAACATTCAGGCGGCCAACAATAAACTCAAACTCGAGCGGAGAAAGGCCAGCAAAGCGGCGACCCCTGCATTGGAACAAAATCAATCAAACAGACGGGCTGCGGCGCATGCGCGCACGCCGGATGTGGATGTGTTGGTAGCCCAGCAGCTACTGCCACAAATGAGAGGCGGTCGAAAGGGGTAATGGGGAGCGGAGCGGAGGAAACTGTATACTGGCGGCGTTAATGGTGTCACTAAGTACGCCGCAACTGACGGCCTTTGAGGCCAAGCCGCGCTCTGATCATCGAATGGAACCAATAAAAGTCGCCTTCCCATTGTCTTTATTTGCGCGGGTCTCTGCGCAGCCTGCGCTCACGTGCACTTGAAAAAAAACCCTATTGCCAGTGTTTGACAAAGTTATTTGAAGAAATATCAAAGAGAAACGATGAAGACATACTTCAAGGCAAAACGTTGTTGATAAATGGAATTTGAATATTTTTATTTTATTTTTTTAATATATATTTGAATATTGAATTTTTACATCTTACTGCCACTGATTGGTATTTTTTGAATTCCTGCACTTGCTTGCCAGACAAATGTAGATCACATTCTGCGCCAGTTGCACTTGTCTTTTTTTTTTTTTTTTGAGTGCACCCCGTACGCGAACTCACACTTGTACTTCCATTTCCCATTTCATTCAATTTGCATTTGTGGCCAGCTCATGGTTGAATGGTCTTGCGGGTGCTACCAGTGGGGGTGGAACGCGAGGGGCATTTTCAGAGCCCATTTTTGGAGGGGGTGTACCAAAAAAAAAAAGAAAAAAAAAACAGAGTCAACTGAAGAGCCGAAACAATTGAATTGTTGGGCTGGTTGGGCACTCGGTGTTGGCTTTCTTGTTCCAGCCACAGTTCGTCAGTCGCGGTACATTGCATATCACACATCTCCTCACATTAGCGCTGCCAATGACAATGAATGACGATTGCAGTTTCGATTGACGATGACGAACTCTGGTGGACTGAACGGTTGGGCGACGTTCCCGTTGTACTCGTTCTGCCCCAAAAAGATCTGAATAGATCTGCATTCGAATACAGTGCTGTGTTATGCAATGCAACAACGTTCGGTTGTAGGTAAAATGACATATTTTACAAAATATTTGTACAATATATATACATTAATAATAAATATCATATAATATATATATTATAATAATATAATAATAATATATAATATAAATGCTCAAAACACAGTTCTTATAAGTGAATGAATGAATGCAGCTGTACTAGGTTTCAGAAGGTCCAACTACTGTCATATTGGCATGTCCTGCTTGTTTCAGCATTATTTCGACAATCGTCATATATCACACATTTATCGACGTTTCCGAATAACCCGGAAGATACATACTTAAAAACTCCCACTACCCAAAAGTCCCCCGTCTATAACATATTGTTTCCTGAGAGCTCTGCTAATATGCGGGCGCGATCGGAACCGCAAACGAAGCGATTCCAACCGAAGACCCAATGTTAATTGCACTCGGGGAAGGAGACCAACGTACATATAAATATTTTTTCCAATGAAACATTTTTATGTTAATTCGAAAAATTGTTTTACAACCAATTAACTTAGCCAATGCACCAAAAAGATCAACGGACAAGATCGCACTGGTGCACCCGGTTTGAGGGAAATACAAATGTATATATGTTCAGGGGCGGGGGTTCTTCGTGGGCTTCCCAAGGGGGCCGGGGCGGTTGAGCCGGAGGGTGGGGTGAGTGTCGATCGCATGCCGCTCGGAATTCCATTATGCGACTTGCCAGTCGTTGATGGCCCGTACCAAAGACTTCTTGGCCAGCGGGCAGGCAGGTGCAGTGTCTACCAAGACACCAAAACGCAGGAACCCCGATGGAAACTAGATGGTGGTGCTGCATCTAGTATGATGTGGTACCACTGGTGGTGGTTGTTTCCTTCCTTTTTAGCGGGATGAATGTCCTGTTGGTGCGGGTCAGTGCCGCCGATCTCTAAATCAATCAAGCGCGGTCTAAAAATAAGAACAGCATAAAAACGATAAGCGCTGCAAGTGATGCGACTAGAAAATACCTTTCACACGTCTTATTTCACGATATGCTTGCGCGAATATCGAGTATTCCTGCATTACTTTCAATATAGTATCTTGCATTTCAACAAGCATACGCGTAAAATGTGCTATTAGAGTCTTAGAATATATTGTTTAAAGGACTTTGCTAAAATGTAAGCTAAGATGGATTCATAGTGTAATAATAAATAGGTCATAAAACGATATTTATATATGACTCTATATAGGTGGAAAACAATATACCCCTCGGCTGCAATGCAAAGGAAAACAAAAACACGAGAGGCAGTAAAACCATTTCAATTAAAATGCCACTTGGGGTCGTGTGCTGTCTCTTCCCATACCTCTTCCTCATCCCCCTGCCTCCAGGTGAGCTACAGGTGCGAACGGACACCAGGTAACTTGACCTGCGGTTGTGTCATGTAATTAGGAACTTCCTCGGGGGATGGGCATTACCTATCGAACGGGGGATCGCTTGATCGATTCATCGATGCCATTCAAATGTGAATCGAATGGGATCGGATCGGATCGGTTCGGCACAATAAAGTCATTCGGCAGCTGCTTCTGTATGTCATATTTCGGGTTGGGTTTTCATTTCCATTTCCATCAGTTTTGGCCCAGTCATGACCC